GAGGGGCTGGGGAAGGTACTTAAAACCAATTAAAAGGTCCAGTATTAGGAAAAGTTAAGAAATGCTGCAAAACTTAAAAATGGGAGGGATTAAAACCTTATCATAGACCAGGGAAAGGCAGGGAGCAAGAGAAAGATTTCATCTGATCTTATATGAAATAAAATTCTGGTTTTTTACTAAGTACACATATACACACACACAAAAGTGGGTCTGTGTTTGAAACAAGTATCTGAAAGGAAAACGGTAACATGAACTCTGACATGCCCAGACCCCAATCCAGACCCTGTGCATAGCCCAGAGCCTCTGGGACATTTATTCCAGCACTGCCTTCAGAGACTTTGCAATTATGAAGCCTTTCCAAGGGCTGCAGTCACTGCTGGACCTAGTTCCATGTGCCTCAGATTTAAAACATGCACATGAAAATAGTCTAGCAGAGAAACTGGGAAATGAAAAAAATAAAAACCAAACCAGCAGTGAAATCTAAACTTATTAAGAAAAACCCTTGGTGTCAGATAAAAGGGGGTGGGGGTGGAATAAGTGCTTTTAAGAAAAATGCTTCACTGCCAATAGTAGCTTTTCAGAAGATGCCTACAGGTCATGTTCCTTAAATTCAGCACTGTGCTTGCTAAATGGACTAACATGCAAAAAAATGTAAGCCATTGATACTTCACAAGTGAGCCATTAGAGCAAATGCCTTGCAAAAGAATTCTGATGCTAATTCCCTTTCCAGGGTAACCCTTCCACATGTTTCTCTACTCTTGAAACAGAAGTGAATATAGCTACATTTCAGCTGGTGTCAGTGCCAATCTACCAGTGCTAGAAAAAAATACTACTGTCTTTTACTTGCAGCTTTTCTTCATCTTTAAAGTACCAAAACTCCTGACTTTCAGCTGAAAACAATTTGAAGCTTCGTCCCAAGTGCCTCTTCTGCAAGATTTAATTTGGGAGCAACATCAGAGCTGTATCACAAGGCCACCGCCACACTGCTGGTACAACTCTGTATTGTGAAGCTGTCCCCCACTTGCTGTTTCCCAGCTCCTGCTCTCAAAGCACAAGTTTTCCTCCAGAGCTCCAGGGAAGGCAAAGCGATGCTCTTCGCTTTAATTTTATTCCACAAGCATCAAACTTGGCTGTTTAAAAAAAAAAAAAAAAGGTCCTACTTTTGACTGCTCAACATCCCTAAAACTAAACTGGCTGATAAGTGGTCTGGTGATGGTCCTCACAGAGCAGAGGATGTGAGGCTGCTGCTTGGCAGCAAGCTTCCCAACTCCCACTCACTCCACTCTACTTTGTGCAACTTCTCCAGGCACTGAGCTCTCTCCATATACAGTAACTAACTTTTAGGCAACCACATACTTACCCCAAACCTAAGCACAATGGAATCCAGTGAGAGTGTTAAAAAAGAAAGCAAGCAGGGGATCGCACTAGAACTGGGAAACTAGAAGTAGCTACAAACTGCAAGAGAGGAATGCACTGAAAACAACCCGAGAGAAGAAACGAGGCCTGAGCCTGGCGTGGAGATACGCTGCTCCAGGAGATGGGCTTTGGAAACACATCCTGTCACACATCAGGAAGCCCACAATGAAAACACGATGGCAGTTGGTACAACACACAACTGGTGAGACACTCGGATGCATAAGCAAAGTACCACAAGGATGGAGCAGCACCCCCCACACACCACCCTTCCAGCACTCAGCAGATGGAAAACGCGGTCACGCCGATAAAGTCAGAGGTACCCAACCATGCTGTTCAAAGGCACACTGAGGTGTGGGGCTCTGTGACTGCAGTGCAGAGACCAGGTCTGTTGCTGGTCAGAGGGGAAGGCCAGCAGACAGCCAAAAGCACCGCAGCTAGAGGCTGCAGACCTGATCCCAGCTCACTGCTGCACTTCAAACCCATACCATTAGCAAGTTCAGTGGAGCAGTGACAGCCACCTCAGACCACAACTACCATCCTGCCAGGCAGTCAACATACACCAGTGACCCGAGTAAATCGTGTTAGGATGTTCTGCCAGCAGGAACTGGGTAAAAACATTTCCAAATTATAATCTAATCCTTACAGAGTGTGCAGAAGAGCAGTGCTGGAGGGTGATTCCTGTGGCAGCAGTAGTCAATTTAGTGGAGTCCCTAACGTTCCCTAACTTTTGAGGAAAAAGTAGGGAGCTCTAAGTCTAGTCCGAACATAAAGCAAAAAAAACTTGAATGCACTAGGAAAACCAAAAAAAGTCAAAATCCACACTGTTGACTTTTGATATAAATATTCCTATCTGCGCAAATTCCAGGCTACTCTTACAATGGTCCTGGTACCCCTGAACAACCATTTGTTAACATGGGTGTTTCTGCCCCAGACACACCATCCAGGTTTCCCGGTTGCAGGCCTGCAAGCACTGGGCCTGAGCACTCAGCAATGCTTTCCAAACGGGAGACTGACCCAACCCTCATGCTTCCACAGCCATAATGTTTTACACGGAGGAGGCAGAGCACCAGGGGTCATAAAGACTCTGGCTGACATCAGGCAGCATTTCTTCCCTTCTATGTAATATATTACCAAAGCACAGGTGAACTGCCTCCCACTTGCTGACTGAAATTGTATTTTGGAAGTACCTCGGACCATCACTGCGTGCTTTTACCCCTCCTGGCGTGGATGGGATTGAGAGCTCATCATCATACAGCATACACTAAGCCAGAAGATGTGTAACGTGACAGGGAACAAATAAACACGTATCACACAGAAAGGTCCAGCCAGATAAAAAGTGAGGAAGAATCTCAGGGTTTCCTTGTTTTATTTGTGAGTGTCTAATCTGGGAGCCAAAGGCAGACGCTGGATATGGGAAGAGACACCCCACATGCACCCACCCCGAGCCTCTCAGTGCTGCAGCGGGACACGGACAGGGTTTGCAGCCTGCAAGTGTGCACTTGTCGAAGCACGGCCACGTGCTGACGTGAGTCACCAGTGCCGCTGACAGCGGCGCCTCAGCGCAGGAAGTTGCCCAACACCGTTTCGGTTGTCGGGTGGCAACACGCACAATGGGATGAGGCACTCGCTGCCTTCATCTACTTCCCTCAGAAAAAGTTATTATCAGTGCAGTGACATCCTATAGACACAAGCTTATACACAATACCTTCATTTACCAGGAGCGGAGGAACAGCAACTGCCACGGCAAGAAAACTCAAAGAGCCGAAAGGAATAAGCCAAAGTTAAACCTGTGCTAAGAGGTAGTGAGCATGCATCCAAACTGCTGACAGACTTTACTTACAGGGACTAAAGGCTGCTTTTCACTGATTCGCAGCCAGGAAAAGAAAGCTGTGCTTCACACAGCTTTTTCTGCACCACAGTAGTGCAGTTGAAGTACCCCATTGCAGGAAACAGTGTTAAGGGATTGCATGGCAGTGGTGGCTGTGGGCATGCCGTCACTCCTCCCAACACCCATACTTCCTGCCACCTCCCTGGCTCTAATCCCACCATGCAGCTCCTTCTGATAAGGTATCACAAACCTGCACATGGGAAAAGTCTTCTGAGAGCTTGGGGTATTTCCTCTCAAATACCAGCTCCTTTTAACCCCAACAGTGAGCAGTCAAGGAGTAACAGCAGGAGAAGAAGGTGGAATTACAACCTCAGCGAAACCAACACAAAACCTTCTGCTGCTCTTATGGGAACTAACATTTCTGCACAAGAACTGCATGGCTTTTTACCAGTTTAAACTATATCCATATATAGCATCTTCAGATGCCAAACCATCTCATTCACCAAAAGAGTTTCCTTTTGCTCAACATGTCACGTTTCCAAGTCTACTGCATTGAGTGGACAGAGCCTGTAGTTAATAAAGATAGTAAAAATCAGCTTGATGTGTCCCAAAGCCTCTGTCTTCTTTCTTAAGCACTACACTCACTTGCCAGGCAGTACTTCTCATTCAAGGGGACCATTACACAACCCTGTACCTGCCCCATTACTTACTGGACTGGCATGTCCTGACACTCAGATAGTTGCTGTCAAGGCTGGTGCCTTCAATCCCAAGCTCCTCAGAGTACATGGGAAGGATTCTCAAGCAAGAAAACCTGTGGTCGTCGCACTCCTTGGTTGGTGTCCCTTTTAGACAAAAAATATCTTACTTCTGGGCTGAAAAATCCCGGTGGAGCTCCGTCAGCACAGCCTCAGTGGCAGCACCCAAAGAAGGTCACAACTTCATCCTCTGGTCTAGATGCTGCCAACAAAGACATTAACCAAATTTTATTTCGGCAAGGTCCCTGAGAGTGCCCAGGGCCACATGCCTGGATTGTTACAGGGTCAGTGCCTCCAGCTTCCCTCAGGACCCAAAGGGCAGCCAACACAGCATCTCCACCACAGTCTGCAGGTGTAAACACTGTACAGCAGCACTGCTCGCTGTAGGGGACCATTTGATAATTAAAAAAAAAAAAAATACTAAAAGCACAGAACTTTTCAGGCAACTCAAACATACAAAGTGGGAATTACCATGCCCTCTCTATTTCTACAAAAATCAAGTTGCACAGCTGGACACAAGTGAGCCCCCAGCAGAAGGTGAAGTGCAGTGGCAGCACACAGCTGAGCTCAAAGATAACATATCCTGGCACTCAGCTAAGTTCATCAGCTCAAGCTGTGTAATGCATTAATTGCTACTACAGAGCTTTCAGTTCAGAGTTGTGTCCAACTATCTTCTGCAGAGCTTGGGAAACATGAGATGGCACCTGCCAAGAAAAAACAACAAACAACAACCTGCTAACTAGTTTAAGTTTTCTGACATAATATAATGTCAGCCTAATTTTTCTTGCATAGATGTAGCATAACACCAGACTTCTATGAGGGAAAAAACCCCCAATCATTACTAAATCCACCTAAATTCAAGTCCACCAATAATAAGATTTAGAGAGTATACATGCATATATATATATATATATATATATATATATATATATATACATGGTATATTGTATATTACACATAAAGTTAGCTTGATTTCATATGTTAGCCACAGAGCAAGTTACCTTCTCAGCACTGAAGTCCACCATAATTCAGCATTTTTAACTTCACATTTTGCATACAGCGTCCATCCCTAGGCAAGCACCACGGCGGCAACGTGAGTTTATTGGGCCCTCCTCAAGGTTACCCCTTTTTTCTGGTTTTAGTCCTTGTTTGGGCCTTGTCAGAATCCAGACCTTTACCAACAAAAGCCAGTTTCTGCTCCCATAGAACCTGGGCAACCAAGCACGTTGGTGCGTCCAAGCCGGACTAAGGCGGGAGAGCAGTGGGGATGCTGCTCCTCTCTGCTGCCACCAACACATTGCCCAACTTCACCAAAACACAAAAGAGACGGAAAACTCTTAAGGGCCACGTGCAGATAGATCCCAGCCTCACCTCGGGCACCTTATCAGCCGTTTCCCGGATTTCAACCCGAAAAGCGGGAACCCTGGAACGCCTCCCCTTCTCCTCCCTCACCTCTGCAAACCACAGACCTTCTGCACATCCACGGGGGCTTCCCGCCGCTTCGGGGACGGCGGGGCGCAGCGGAACAACGCCAAAAGGGCCCCTTATTTAGTTAAATGAAACGCCCGAGGGTTTTCATGGGGGCGACCCGGAGGCGCGGGGCACGTCGGGGCCGCGCTCCCGGGTCCCGGCGCCGGGCTGGCCCCGCTCTCCATCCCCGCCGCTGGAAGCGCGCACGGAGCGCGGGACTGCCATGCCGGGGGAGCGGGGAGGAAGGGAAGGGAAGGAGGGGGTCACCCGCGTAAATCCCGCGTACAGAAGCTCCGCGGAACCGCGACGGGAGGAGGAGCAGCGGAGCGGGGTGTGGGGAGTGGGTCCGCGGCCGCCGTGGGGAGGGGGGGGTGTCCCCACGCACCCCGCTCATCGCCATCGGAGGGAGCGCCGCCCCCGCGCGCTGTCCCCACGCGGGGCACTGGGGAACACCAATCCCTCCCCACGCCATCCCACCCCCCTCCAGCGCCAGTGGGACCCGCCGCCCCGCTCTCCGCGCCTCCCCATTTCCCCC